CATGAAAATATACAACAATAAATAAAAAAAAACCTTATAAAGAAAAAATTAATCAAGCCTGTTGTTTTCTCTTCATCTCAAAAAGTGGTTCAAAGAATAATTTAAAAGCCATTCAAGTATAATTCGTAAACATGGAGAAAAAAAGTTTCAAACAATTTGTTTCAAACTTTTTAAAAAATTAAAAAAATTAAAAAAAAAAGTTGTTTTTTATTGAGATTATTATTTATTATCTATTGTTATCAATTTAATTTAGTTGTTTTATAATTATTATTTTTTTTTTGTGTGTGTGCAACAATAATTTAGATTGGTTTAATTTCAGTTAAAAGTATTTTGCTGTTTATTTTGCAGAATATGTTTGTTATTTTATTTTGAAAAAAGAGTTTTCTAAATTTGAGGAAACATTATGTTACTGTGATTAAATAAAATTATGTTACATTTTTTGGAGAGGATAAGCTTTAAGGAGGTAAAAAGTTAAATGCAGCGCCTGGTCTATTAAATAGGGACATGGTCAGATTTGAAAACTCTATCTTTTATTCTGGTGAGTTAAAGAACATGTCTGATTGCCTCACTTATCTGGGTCTGTGTTTGTTTCAAATATTAGAAAATAATGATCTTTTCAATGAGCTCGTTTACTTTTTTTCAATGGATTTGTGTGTTTTATACAGAAAAAAGAATTAAATTGTTAAAATTGTATATACATATGCTTTAGATAAGAAAGAACCTCTTGATAGTCTTATTGCTGCTTTAAATACAGACTTCCTTGCTGGTCAGCCACTCTTAGAGTATATAGTTTCTATTGGTGACAAACAAGCTGAGGCAAATTATAAGTTTTGGATTGAAGTAAATAAAACCTTTCATAATACTTTTTATAATGAAACAATTTTTCGACAAAAGCAATACCAAACAATAATCAATTTGTTTTTGGCAAGCAATGCTAGCTATAACATTTCTCTTTCATCTTTGAAAAAGCAAGAATTATGCAGATACCTAACTGAAGATGGAGGATTAGCAATGTTAATTGAAGCCAATGATCAAATAGCACTTGTAAATATATAAAATTAAATTTGGTTATGTTAATTTCATTGATTTATATTCACACATTGTTTTAAAACAAACAATTTAGTTTTAAACAAGCAGTTCAGTAAAGTTAACCTGTTTTTTATATTCAAAAATAAAAAATGAGTTTTCTTTTAATTTTATTTAGAAACTTTTGCCAATATGGGAAGCTTTTTGCAAAAGTGACAAAGATTCGTTTTTTAATGATGTGGTATGAATAAATATTTTTCTAAGTTAAGTTATTGATTGCACAAATAAACTTTATATTAGTGTTAACAGTTAGATTATTGAACTTAAAAAACCTATATGCAAAGCAAATTTTTTTTTTTGGTGCTCAAAGTTTGTTGTTATTTACATGCAAACAATTTTTTTTTTAAAAGCTCCAAGAATTATAGCAACTCTTAGTAAAATAAAAATTTGGTTCTACTTTGACAATAAGGATTGAACTCCACACTTTAACTATAAGGATTGCATTTAATGCAATAATTTTGACAATAAGGATTGCTCTTAATGCAAAACTTTAATTGTCTATTAATTATAAAACTAGTCACTTTAATTAAAGTCTTGGAAGAAACATCTTTTGACATGTATTAACGGAAAATGAGGTTGTCTTTTTTTAACCTTCTTGAATGATTTAAACACTGGATGAATGCTGTGAAAAATGTGGATATCTGGATTTAATTCACGACCAGCTTGCATGATTAAACACACCTTAAAAAAAAAGTTGATACCAATCTTTATCTTTTTTAGTATTTTCATCTAAGATCCAGGGCGGTATTAAGGCAGAAGCTGAGGAGGCTATAGCCACAGGCTCACCACAAAAAAGTTAGTTAGCAGTTATCTAATCTCGAAAAGTTAATGTCTGATAGTCTAGGATTTTAGTAAATAAACAAACCTTCAAACTTAAAAAAACAGCAATATCATTGAAGAATTACTTGCAATTTATTGTATATATTTATATAGCATAGATTTGTTTAATTTTTTACAATTTTTTATTACATTAAAAATTACTTATTACAGTAAATATTTTGAAAACGATGTTAACTGCATTGAATTATAATAATTATAAAAAAATATTTCTTATCTTTTTTTTTGCATTACTGCTACAAATTGTGTAATTTTTTTAATATTAGGCTGCAGGCCCACTCCAAATCTGCAGCCTCAGGTCTATTTGGACCTTAATCCTACCCTGCCAATATCCCTAAATTTTTCTGAAACTGTTGAGATACTACCCATAGGCAAGTTTTTTAAGGTTAAAAAAAAAGATCTGATGCAATTTTCAAAGCAAGAGAAAGAAGTTATAGTAGGTTCATGCTTTACTCCATGATTTTCATTTTTTTGTGCTGCTGCTTTTTCTAAGTGTAAAAATTTTTTAATTTTTTTCATAGTAACAACTCTCTGAAGAAGTAGCTTCTTTTTATTGATATAAGATATATGTTCTCTTATTTTTTGGAGCTTGAACAAACTTATTATTTTTTTTAAATTGGTTTTGTAAATATTTTATGAAATAATGTTATAAATGTAAATATGTTAAGAAGGTATGTATACATTATATCAAGTTTTTAATTAAATTTTTGTTAAACTTTTTTATTTGGTGCTGTTGTTAATTGAAATCTTAAAAACCAAATTTCAAAATTAAACAGAAGTTAAAATATTAACTAATGTTAAGATCGATAAATTAATTAGATCAAATTAGAAAAACTAGAGCAAAAGATTTGGAAATAATAGTATAATTTTTCTAATTTATTCTAATTTATTCTAATGATTTCATTTCTTTTTCAAAAGTTTTTAAATGATAATAGTATAATTATTCTACTATCTAGATATTGAAATAAATATAATTAACTAGAGCAAAAGATTTGGAAATAATAGTATAATTTTTCTAATTTATTCTAATTTATTCTAATGTATTTCATTTCTTTTTCAAAAGTTTTTAAATGATAATAGTATAATTATTCTACTATATAGATATTGAAATAAATAGCCTAAATGCTTAACGCTATACTTTATTTATATCATATACTCTACCATATCAACTTATGTTTTATGCAATGAAAGTGTTAGCCAATCAAAATCTTAATTGAATTATTGATTTAAATGTATTAACTTGTTTAGAGCATGCTAGACCAACTAGAAAAAATTCAAGATATAGAAGATAGTAGGTGCAGTAGTAACTTGAGATCTACTCTTAACAGAAATAAATTTAATAGTCGAAGAATGTGGAAGGCTCTGGAACTTGCTTTAACTATATCTAAACCAATAAGTGAAGTTTTAATATGATTAACAAATTAATTGTTTACTTTTTATAAATTGAAGATAAAATAAAACAAAAACAAAAACTTTTTAATATGATAGTATTTATTATAGAACATCAGCTCTTTACCATATCTTCTTTATCAAGTTCTGATGAAGATTCTGGAGATGATGAATTAAGTATGGAGCAAAAATCTTTAAGGAGAAATGAATTGTTTTTAATTAATAATGGTATATAATATTATATTTTTTCTGATTTATTGAACACAAGATATTCTAAGCTAACAATCAACCTCGAAACCTGTATTGTACCTGTAAACATGCTTTAAAACTATTTTAATATTTAAAGAAAAATTTTATATTTCTGTTTGTTTTTTTGTTTTGATGTTGCTAGAGTAAATTAACATAATTTGAAGTATTTTAATATGTTTTAAAATGTTTAAACATAATTTGAAATAGAATTATCAATACCATTAAGCTCAGAAATCATGTATAGAGATTTTTTATTACATCAGTTACAATGATTATTTTTATAAGCAATGTCAAGGAAATTAAATATCTCTTTATTGTTGTCATTGTTTTAAATTTTAGTTTTTAGTAATAGATAAAAAAAAACCATTTTGGTTAGTATGAAAAATCTAGATGTGTTTTTCATTTAATACAGTTTTTTTTTTTTACTTTTTTTTGTTAATAGCATTTTTCTTCTTAAACAGCAAAAGACCAATATTTTTTACTTTTTATTACTTTTTTAAGAACATCAAAAATGAAGTTGTTGCTTTATTGTTTTTTGAAAATTTAAGAATAAATTTCATTTTTAAAGACAATCTATTTTTTATCTGCTATATTTCTGTCAATATTGACCTGAATACATCACTGGATATGACTCAATTTTTTTTAATTTTACAGACTCTGCGTTAACTCATAAATATATGGAATGGAAAATTAGTTCTTCGAAGTTTGACATCAATGCAATTAGTCATGATACAAATATTCAAGAACAGCAATCTCAAGAAATTTTGCTTGTCAAGCCTCATAAACCAAGGTTGTGGAAGTTTATAACTAAAATTTTAATAATTATTTTTTTTTTATATTTAACTTTACATAGTTTGTATAAACTAATTTAATAATTCATATATTATTATTTAATAAAAAACAAAACAGAAGTTTCCATGAAATTTTAATGGATTCATTACAACTTGACTTTTTTAAACAATACTTGACAAAAGAGAAAGAAGAAACTCCATTATTATTTTGGATTGCAGTGGAATCTATGAGAACAAAAAGTAAGGATGCAATGGTAAGGCAAGGAAAAACTCAGGCAATTGTGAAAAGATTTTTTGGATCTGCTAATCAAGGTTTTTATTTTCCATCTTCAATTTAGCAGTTTTAACAACTAATTTTATTCAATATATGCAAACATTTATGTTAATAAATGTAAATAATTTATGTAAATATAAATATAAACAATTTATATTATTACATGTAAATAATTTATGTAAGTTTATGTTAATAATTTATGTAAATAATAATAAATTATAATAATAAATGAAATTACTTATATAGAATAAAATTGGGTGTAATAATAGAACAGTTTGTAATTATAGAACAGTGTGTAAAATTGGCTTTTGTATTTTATGAATGATCTGTAAATCATTAAATTAATTTTTATAAATTATCTGTAAAGAAAAATCTTTTTAAAATATTTTTTGTTGTGTTGCATAGAATTTTTTACTCTATAAATGTTATAAAACTAATTGATTTTAAATTTAAAATATTAATTAAAATTAAAAAATTTCTGTTTAATTGAACACCTAAAAGTTGTCTGGAATAAAAATGACTATGGAATTTTTGAAATATTTTCCGAATTTGATAAAATTTTTTATTGTTTTAAATCAAATTTATCTTTCTAATAATATAATGTTAATAATTGATTGTAAACAAAAAAAATGTATTTGCAAGTAGTATTGAAAAATCTAATTTATGGACGAGTAACTTGAAAATCGTAATGTTCCAGTTAATTTCCTAACAAAAATAAAGTTCAAAGGGAAACTGCTTAAAAACCAAACTATATTGTCAAATTTTGGAGATAATTGTTGGTTCCAGGTTGGTTAATTGTTAATTGTTGGTTGGTAAGAAATTGAAGAAATTGTGAGTAAGACTGATGTTTAAAAAAGGGAAGGCTACAAAATGTTGAAAAAAGAGAAGGCACTGAAAACAGAAATTCCCATTCAAATTTGCCATTTTTTAAAAATGGAGACATGAGTTTTAAAACTTTATAAGAAATAGTGTTAAAAAGTGACTTAAGTATATGATCTGAAAGCATGATGATTTTGTGATTGACTTGTTTTCTGACCTACTCAAGAAGTGTAATGGAATGGCATCAACAAAATGACAAATCATTTTTCTCTCAAAAAATATCAATTTAGCATTGCCAAACATGCCAAACTTCTTTCAATCCAAAAATTTTGGGTAACATTGAAATTTGAACTGTGTGAAATTATGGCAAACAGTTAATACTGTCAAATTTAAGGTGTGATATAATTTTTATTGTTTGTCAACAGCTCATGCAAGGTGTTCAACTTAAATTGAGAAAATACTGTATTTACAGATAAACTTTCTTCGGAGCAATAAAAAGATTGGCATATTTAAATGCAAAGACAATCGATGTAAAATATGCAAACTCTACTTTCAAGAAGTAGATGAGTTTGAAACTTCTAATGGTACTATCTGGAAAATAAAAAGTCACATCACATGCAACAGCAAAAATGTAATTTATTACCTTAAATATTTGGCATGCAAAAAACAAGCCACATATACTGGCAAAACTAACAATTTAAGATTACGAATAAATGGACATATTTCTAGTTGCAGAACTGGCCTATCAACTAATAGATTTGACAACCACGTTTATACCTGTCAACGCTCCCACCAAAATGTAATTGAACCTTTTTTTCAACTTTTTGTTTTCCTTGAGCTTAACAATGAAAGTTTTTTGTTATCATACGAAAAGCATCTGCACAAACAAAAACATGATACTTTTAATTGATACTTCCTGTGTATTATTAGAACTGAATTTATCAAAATAGTTACTCATAGCAACAATATGCAATTAAATTTATTTTGTATACAAAAATTTTGCTATAATACCATAACAGCACTACTGATAATTTTTTGAAAGGCCTCTAGTGCTTAAAGTTTATTTAATCAATTATATAAAAATACTTTGTATTAGTGTATTTTTTGGAAAAATAAAAAAAATGTTTTTAGTAATAAATATTTTGAGAAAAAAAGATTTACTTTTGTTTACTGGCTTGACTATCTTTTGCTTTATATTGGTTAAAAATCATATTTCAAGTTTATATATATATATATATATATATATATATATATATATATATATATATATATATATATATATATATATATATATATATATATATATATATATATATATATATATATATATATATATATATATATATATATGTATATGTATATGTATATATATATATATATATATATATATATATATATATATATATATATATATATATATATATATATATATATATATATATATATGTATGTATATATATATATATATATATATATATATATATATATATATATATATATATATATATATATATATATATATATATATATATTATATATGTATATATATTATATAAATAGTTTATGTAAAAATGTGAAACAATTTACATAAATACATATGTAAATAAATTATCCAAAATAAATAAATGTAAGCAATTTGTAATAATATATGTAAATAAGTTATGTAAATTTATGTTAATGGTTTACATAGACATAAATAAATACATAATAATGTAAATAGTTATATATGTAAATAATTTATGTAAATATATGTAAATGATTTATGTAAATATATGTAAATAATTTATGTAAATATATGTAAATAATTTATGTAAATTTTTAATATTAGCTGAATATAGATTATTTGATACTTTATGCTAATTAGTTATTCGTTTCACAACCAACTTACATTAAAGTTACTCATAACACAGTTTAACTCATAATAAAGTTACCACAACATTTAAAGTCTAAGATTGTCATTTTAATTTTATTTAATCATCTTAATTTATTTTCAGGAAAAGATTTAAAATGTAATGCAGAAGTTATTAGTCAAATACCATTAGCTGATAAGGTTACTCCAGCCATGCTTATTTCAGCTCAAGCATGTGTAGCTAAAAGTTTAGAAGAATCTTGGTAATATAAAAACTTATTTATGAATTTTATTTTTGAGCCATACTTATTAGAAAATGAATTAAATATTGCTTGCCCAAACCAAAACCTCAATCGATGTAGCAGCACTTCCTTGTAGCAGCAGGCTATAAGGAAGTGCTGCTACATCGATTGAGAAAGATTTTGCTATGGCATATTCTTTCTCATTGTAATTACAGTAGTATTTTTTATCTCTGTCATTATAGTTATCATCTCTCTTGTAAATATCTTCATTGTGTTATCTTTAATTTATAATCTTTTAAATAATTTGTTTTACTAGGTATAGTAGTTATCTTGCAACTTTCAGTAAAGATGACGAGACAGACATAAATATACCTGTTTACAATAAACACGGTATAAGTGGAAAATTCCAAAGTCTACGTGAAAAAACAGTAAGTTATTGTAAATTTTAAAAGCCTATATTTTCTGTTGAAAATTTGTTTTTTGTTTTTTTCAATTCATCATATGAACAAATTTGTTTGCTTCAATATTTGTTTAGCTTGTTTATTGGAGAATGTTTGTTCGAAATATAACTGTTTTTACAAAAGGTATTTCAAATAAAGATACATTTCGAATGTTTCGAGACTTTCTAAAGCTGCAATACCTGATGAGTAAATGTTTTTGTTATTTCTTATTGCTACATTTATATATTTGCTACATTTTTTTTATTTTCAATTTTTTTTATTTGGAACACTGAGCTGGTTTTTGGACAAAAAAAAATTGTGTAAAAAAAAAAATTATACTTATATTAATCTTTTAGACAGTCTGTTTAATGTATTTTTGACTTTGTTTGATAATAAATTTTTAAATGAATATTTTCATTAATAGTTATGTTTTCCATGGTAACTGTTTTAATGAAATCTTCTTTTTTCCATGTTTTGACAAAAATTTCAGTAAGTTCAAAATTTGTTGCTCAATAATATAGTCTTCCACTTTTACAGTGTTGTCCTAGATAAACAGATTGAAAAAAACAATTTGAAAATAGTTTAGTTATTAAGTTGATTTTTATAGATGGTTGATGAACCTTATGTGGTATAACAAGTCATTATCCTAAACTGTTTTGATAATTACTTTTATAACTAGAAGTTGTTATTTTTAAAGTAACTAAAAATAATAACTTATTCCTGTAAAATACAACAACTAATTATAGAAATATTTCTAATCAGATTTTTTTTAGGTGGATCTTCTGTTGGTGACACAAACAATTTTGCATTAGACAAGATTTCCTCCTCGGTTATTGTCATTAACCATAAACATGTCTTCATAGAAAAACTTGTTGCAGACCTCTACTTTTATTGTGAAGTTCAAAAGTATTATTTTTATTGTTAATAAGATTTTTAAATCTTGTTTTTCTAACAAAAATAACATCAACTGATAGTATATATTTTATTAGGAATTGTTTTTAAGTATAATTTTTTTTTTTACACAATTTTTTTTTATGTATTAATAAATTTTTTTTTAATGCATAAACTTTTTGTTTTTTATGCATAAATTTCAGTGATTGTTTAATTAACAAAGCATTATTCAATACTTTATAGAAGTTATTGAGTAAGTTTGAGAATGATCAAATATTAAATATAATGATTTGTTCTCTCTAATCACCAGATCTCTCTCAAAACTTACATCCAGCTCATAATTTGAGGACTTTAGTTTTAGACAACTTTTAACATCATTGAGAGAGAATCCCAGTTTACTTTCATGTTATTTTTAATAATGCTTATGTTGGTAAATATCTGTTTACTATAATATGTAGATTCGAAAACTGTCAAGAATTGCCACATGTTTTAGTTTATGTAACTCCTAAGAAGACATGTTTCAAATTTAATTTGATCTTCCTTTTGAGAATTAGAAAGTTCTTTCCAGCTATGATCTATTGCAATATTTTCTTTTAGCCTTTCCAAATTTTTCTAGTTTGGTTTGCAAAGTTGTAAAATTTAAAGACCCAACTATTTTTGTTTTATATGTATATATATATGTATATGTATATAATTTTTTTTTGTATATATTTATTTTGTATATATAAATATATATGCACACACGCACACATATCTACTTATGTAAAAAATTTATTGTACATGTGTATATATTTAAATTTCATATCCTTAGATACAGAGATTTTAGTGATGCAGTAGTTGAATGTGCAAAGTTAGGGAACTATTCAAATGACGATGAGTTGGTTGTTGTCAAGAAAGCTTATGCAATTATAGACTGTTTTATTAACTCTCTGGTTGCTCCAACCTTGCAAGTATATTGTTTATTTTTTTTTAAAACAATTTAGGAACTTTTTTAATGTAAATAAGTCTGCTATTATCCCCACCATGTCACAATCATTTTTATTTTTATAATTATTTTTATTATTACCATCATCAACATTACTGTCACTATGACAATGATGATGATAATGATGATGATGATGATGATGATGATGATCATCATCATCATCATCATCATCATCATCATCATCATCATGATTATCATCATTATAATCATTATTGTCATTACCATTGTTGTCAATATCATCATAAACGTGGAAGTGGTGTAGCAGTAGAGTGCTCGCTTCATAAGTTCAAGAAGTTCTGAGTTCGATCCTCACAACTTTCTTAGTAGTAATAATTTTAACTTCTTTCTCCACAACAAATTAGCCTCCACAATAAAGTAGTTAGTCACTTCCCCAGGTCTTTTTGGTCTTATGAAGGTGAATAACATTTAAAAAAAAAAAAAATCATAAACACTTGTTAAATATATTGTTCTTGGATTTCAGACCAAGCTAGTATTAAATATATACATTTTAAAGTTTTTATTTTATGTGTCACTTGTCACTAATGGGGCGATATATACCTAGAGCTTGCTTCAAAAACTAAATCTCTTTCTTTTAAAGCAAGCACTCTAACCATTGCGCCACAGTTATTTATAACTAACTTGTTTATTTTTATTTTTACTAAATTTTTTTAATATTACTTTATTTTTATAAATTATGTAATGAAAACAAACAATAATTTAAAGTTTATTTTGTTAGTTTAAGTAAAATTTTTGAAAGTCACTGTGTTTAAATAAAATTTAAATACAGTGACTTTCAAAAATATAATGTCACTTAGATTTTTGAATGATTACTTAAATTATTTTATACTTTTAAAAATAAATAAATGATAAGATAAAAAACATTTTAAAAATATATCATTTTGGAAGCAAAATTAATCAAAAAAGAAAATCAAAAAACACAATAACAAAAATTATCAAAAGTAAAAGATTATGCAATTCAATTTATTTAGTATTTTGCATGAAACTGTTTGAATAAAATTGAAACTGTTTATGAACAAAAAAAAAACATAGACAATTTGAAACAACAACAAGCTCTCATTTGTTATATTGTTCATTTATTTTTATGTTTAAAATAGAGGTGCCACAAATATTCAACAACTATTTGGTATTCTGTGTATTTGGTAACATTTTATACTATTCGGTATTTGGCTAAATATTGTAAATTTTGGTCGAATATCAAATACTGAAACATGAAAAAAAAATCACATTAGAAATGAGTTATATTATTATATGACATTATATCAATATTTATATTATTATATATATAATTATGTTAATATAATTATTATATTAATGATTATATTATTATATATATCTATAAATAGTATCATAAAAATATTAATCAAATAATAAATATCATAAAAGTATTAAATATTAATTATATATATAAGATTCTATTAATCATCAAAATTTTTTGTATAAAATAAGCTTAATAATTGAAATTTATCAGTGGTAAATTATGATGAATGAAAATTTTTTTTTTGGCATTTGTTGATAGCAAACAATTCTGCTTTTCCTCATAAATTTTACCTACTTCCGAAAATAGCTGCTCATTATATACACTATTACCTGGAGATAATAAATAAATCTTAGCAAATTCTGTTAGATTTAGATATTTTTTTGCATTAGCTGACTACCACTTGTAATGGTCTGCTTTTTGATCTTGGTGAACAGTTTTCAGGAATAAATCAATTTTGTTTACTGTTGAACTTTTTTGTTCCACATCTTCATCTAGTAGCGACTTCTTCGAAACAGTTCCAGAAACTATTATGTATCTCAATTGTTTTATTCATTTTGATTGACATTTTTTTCTTCTGAAGTGGAGATAAGTCATCATTGGTGGTACTAGGCGCTTCAAAACTTTTTTTCAGAGCTTCTAAAAGAATTTTTTGTTTTGCTCTTTGTGTTTTTACTATACCCAAGAAATTAGTTTTGAAGAGTCATGAAAAGTTAAAACTAGATATTTGTCATTTTCATTAAAGTTAAACCAGGCTTCAAGTTCAGATTAAAGCAAAGATCTAATTGTTGATAAATTCGGTGTTCTTTATGCTGTCTTTTCCTTTACCAGGTATTTTAACAAAGTGGTAACATGTGGAATTACCTCAGAAATGCAAGAAATACCTGAACTGGTTATTTTTGTAATTTCTTCAAGCAGCTTGAGAAGTTTGATACATTGTTCCATAAACTCCCATTAAGCAGGTTTTAAATTGTTTAATGAATCATGGTTAGTTATATATGTTGAAAATGTGAAATTGAAAACATGAGTGCGTAATAATAAAAAATATTGCGCACTACTTTTTAAAAAGACTTCAAAAATTATTTACATCAAGATTTTAAAACAAAAATACCTAATAAGCATGTCGCAAGTTAAAACTATATGGAATTATTTTAAAAAAGTGATAAAGAAGAAAATGCAAAGTGCATGTTATGTTCGGCTATTTTAAAAATCAGTCAAAGATCAACAAAAGGGTTATTAATCCATTTAAAAACTAAACATGGCACCGATTTAAAATCAAACATTTTACAATAAGACAGAGCTTTAACTTGAAAACAGCATGAATCAGTTGAACTAGAGTCTAAAATATAGATTGACTGCGAAGAAGAAGTAATTCTATCGAAAAAAGTCAGAACAATAGACACGTTTTTCGTAAAAGAAATTTCTATGGAAAAAATGGTGCATGGTTGCTAAAGATGACTTTACATTAAATAGTTTTTGCACATCTTCAGATTTGCGTTATTTGTTTTTAAAGAGTGGTTTCTGGCTCCCTACTTCAGCTAATACTATAAGATCGATGGTAGTAAAATTCTCAGATTCTGTCAAAGCCGATATAATGCAAAAATCACTAAAAAAGCAAAATCTAAAGATTTCAATAACGTTTGGGGAATAGACATCACAAAATACCTTATCTTAAATGTACATATGGAGGCGAAACACTTTACTCTTGGATTGATTCGAATTCATGGATTGTGTAATGCAGAATATTGCGTCAAGTTAGTTGCAGGAAATTTAAATAGCTTTGATATTGACCTCCAAAAAGACATTATCGCCATGAGCACTAATGGAGCAAGTGTGATGGTGAAAATCGGTAAAATAATGTCTTGCGATCATCAACTATGTTATGCTCATGGAATACAACTTGCAGTTATTGATATCTTATACAAGAAAAACAACGGAGAAGTCGAAGAATCGTTTACTACAAATGAAAATTGCGAAGAAGAAGATGAACATGAGAACACTGATGATGATGAAGTTATAAATAAAGAATATGATTTGACAGTAATTTTGGACCGACCATCTACTGAATTGGCTAGCAATTACAAATGATCTCATGAAAAAAGTGAGAAAGGTTGTAAAAATATTTAAAAACTCCTGTCAAAAATGATAAATATTTACAGAAGTATATCCTACATGAACACAGCAAAAAGCATAAGTTGATTCTTGATTGTAAAACTAGGTGGAACAGTATGTTGGATATGTTAGAAAGATTTCATAGACTAAAAGTGTATATTGAGAAAAGCCTTAATTGATGTTGGGTCAGAAATTCGTTTCACCCAAGAAGAATGGTTCCAAATCAATGACTTAATTGTTTGCCTGGAACCACTCAAACTTGGTCTTGAACTATTATGCAGGAGAGAATCAAACCTTATCACTGCGGAAACAACTTTTCAATTTATGTTAGATAAAATTACAAAAGCAATCATCACTTTTGAGCGTTGATTTAGCTGCAGCTCTTTTTGAGAGGTTTACACAACGTTGTAGTATTAAAATTTAAATGGACTACTGGTTTACTTACAAAATCCTAAAAAAATATGAACAAGAAATTTAAAAAAATGAAAACACTTTTTCGATGCCAAAGAGAACCGTTATGGGTCAAGAAATAAAAAAAATATTTATAAGAGTTTAAACAATTGAAAGGAATAAAGACGAAAAAAATGAACTCAAAGAAAAAGAAGCTGTAATTCTATTAACAATTCCCAAATACTTACTCCTACAATTCTATCGCTGAAAAAAGAATTGGAAAATCATATACAGTAAGACAAGAAAACCTGGACAGAAAATTTCTAGGCTTTTCTATACGCAGTTTTTTTTTTTTAAATTTTATTTACTAACAACGCGTATTACGAGTTGCTTACTGCTAGTATAAAAATGAATAAATGCGCATATAAGAATGAATAAAGGCGCATATAAAAATGAATAAATGCGCATATAAGAATGAATAGCCTTGTAAAAAATCTGTGTGGATCCCGCGGGATTGAAAAGTGTGCGAGGTTGCAATCCCTAGTCACAGATACTGCTGTTGGTTGTAATAAACTAGCTTCAATTTAGAGCAAATTCTATTAAATATATTGGAAATAATTTTCTCAGTCATGTAGGTATGACAAGGTAATTTGTATTGTAGTACTGCCTTTTCCATAAGTTTGATGAAGCCAACTCGTTCAACAAGTGATAATGGTTTGTTGTCTAAGGTAATCATTTCTCCAATTAAATAATGATATTTTATTTATTTTGGATCATTAATATCCCAATTTCCTTTCAGTTGTCTCCTTTAGAGTTTCTGAAAACTGTTACTTTTTTAACATACCTGTTACTGTTGGTATATTAGAGTCAGTATATGTGAGTGAACCGTCACTTTGCTCCCTCTTGCTGGCAGAGTTTCAGTTAACTTAGCGTGCTGCTCAGAATGGTTGTTTTAAAGGTGGTTTTTCAGAGAATTTGTAGCTGGAAACAAAAAAGAGTACTTAAACTTAGAGTAATTAAAACAAACTGTGCAAAAAAAAAAAGGAATAAAAAAATTACCAGCGTAAATAATTTGTTTTATTAAAACATATTTAATTAGTTATACTATACATAATAGCTTTACTTACTTGCTTTTCCTTCCTTCTTCACCACGCGAGATCTTGCTTTTACACAGCAAACAAACTGCTAGTTTTTTGTCTTCCCTACAAATTTCATAGTATTTCCAAATTGTTGATTTTTTATTAAAAGATGCCACTTTTAAAGCTTTTTGTGGGTTGTAAGAAATACAACCTATAAAGAACAATGTTTGATGTAACAAACAGTCAACAAATAACAAGCCCAAACACGCAAATAAAATAAATACGCGTAATTACCCATAGCGTGACTACGGTATTCACTTTACTTATGCAGGTTGGAAACTGTCACCCGTGAAATTTTCTAAGTGTTACTGAATATTTGGCTATTCGGCAGAGAGTCAAGCCGAATGTTCGGTATTTGGTATTCGGCAAATTCACTATTTGTGCCATCTCTAGTTTAAAACAGTCAAAGTTTTGACAAACATAAGACAAAGGTTTTCATTTTATGAATTTTAATGATGATTATTAATACTTTTATTTTATGACTCTATTTATTAATTGTTTTATATATTTATATGCAATAGAATACTATAAAATAGAGTTCATTAAGTTTTATTTTATGAACTTTAGTTTAGTTCTTTTTATTAATTATTGTTTTTTTAGCTTATTTTAGTACTAAAATGACAGGAATGGTAATAACTGGGTGTTTTACCTTGTATTAATCTTTTTTTTTTTACTTTTTTTGTATTTGAATACAGATAAATATTTCGCGTGAGCAAGCAGAAACAATAATGACTTTGGCTGCAAACGGTATCATAGAAAGAGGTCTTTTTCATGATGCTACTCTATCAATATTTACTTCTCTTTTTTATTTTTGGAAAAAGTGAGTTAAAGTAATCATTTTTTAAAAATAATTTAATTATTTTAAAAAAAATTTAATTACTTTTAAAATAATTTATAAATTTTCAAGATAATTTAACAATTTTAAAATTATTTTTAAAATTATTTTTTTTAATTATTTTTAAAATTATTTTCAAAATTATTTTTAAGAAAGTTTAACTATTTCTAAAATAATTTAATTAGATTTAATATAATTTAATTATTTTTAAAATAGTATAGTTATTTTTAAAATAATTTAGTTATTTTTAAAATAATTTAGTTATTTTTAAAATAATTTAGTTATTTTTAAAATAATTTAGTTATTTTTAAAATAATTTAGTTATTTTTAAAATAATTTAGTTAATTTAAAAATAGTTTAGTTATCGATTAAATATTTATTTTTAAGATCATTATTTTTAATATGATTATAAAGTTTGAGTAATTATTTAATTATTATTTTAAGTTATTATTTAGAACAGTAAAATATTTTTGATTAATGATTTGTAACTACTTTAATTATTTTAAATAAAGACTAAAAAAATTAGGTTTATTTTTAAATTTTTTTAATTTAATAATTTTATGAAATAATGTATATAAACCATAAGGGACACAGTGTTAGAGCTGTACTCTCATTAATGATAGAAAAAGTTGGATAGCCTTTACTAAGGAGGCACAAGCAAAACCTTATGTGTAGAATCAAAAAATTCTAGCATTTATCGTCTTATGCAGGAAACCATCTAACACAGGTCTTCTACAAGACACCAGACATTTAACAGGTAGTGCCTTATACTATTCAAATAACCAGACTCTGACACTTAATGATGTCAATGTATAAAACAGAGTATATGAGCAACCGATTTTGTTTGGCTCGCTATTTTAGGAAAAGATGTAAGTAAAGAACAACTGAATAATTGAATTATTGAATAATAATTGAATTACTGAATAATTGGTTGGTCACAATAGTTCAGTAACATCACAATGATTGTAATTTTACATTTTGGCCTATTTTAGTCTCATTACTCATTGCTAAATCACAAATTGGCTACAAGCCCTAGTATTACCACTGGTAACAAAAAGTGTGAATCTGACAAATGTGCCGGAACCATGTTTTATTGGAGATTATTGCCAGTTTAAATATGAAATTTTTTTTCTTGAGTGCTTAATACAAGAGGGGCAAAAGGATGGGGGGGGGGGGGTGAATTTTAATTCATATTTGATAAACGGGGGGGGGGGGGGGTCTTAATAAAAAGTAATTGGGAAATTTTTACAGTACGGGAATAAAACAATTTAATTTATTAATTGTGGCTTGCGGTCAAAGATGTATTTTTTAACAGCTGTTCCATCATAATTTCATGATCTCCATCATAATTTCAATAGAATTTAATATGCTTATATAAGTTTTATAGACTATTGAGAAATAAACGAAAATTTTTTTGACAAATCGAGATTTACAAGATTTTTTAATGGTTAATAATTTTTAAAGTTTGATTGAAAGTTTTTATTATTATAAGTGATTAAAACATTTGTCAAAAATTTTCGTTTGATGTCAAGGTTGTACAAAAAATAACTTCAATGACTCACCAAAGGCAATTAAATACGCTGTTATGGAATTATAAGATTTTTTAAAATTTTTATCAGTAAACGCTTGTAACTTTAATGGCTTTTTATTTAACAAATAGTTTTTGAAATAAAATTATAGTGAAAAAAAAAAAATGAGACATGTTACTTGTTATTTTATATTGAATTTACATTTTTATTTATTCTCTGTATTTGTTATTGTTGGAACATTCTTATCTAGAATATTTTATTGATGTTTTATATTTAATAAGGGGTCGTCATAAGTTACTTCACTCTTACACAACTACCCCTAGATATTAAAAAAAAAAAATTTAGAAATTTTATTTTTATTTTCAATAATGTTTGAAACAATTGCTATTTAATTAAACATAAAAAAAATTTTTTATGCATGAATTGAAATTACATTTATTTTTTAGTGCCCGTATTGTATAACCAAAGTTATGGTTCATATTTTTATTTTATAGTTGTTTATGAATAGACTACAATCAAATCTTTACCAACTTGCTCTATTTTATATATTACTATTATATTATTATTTTGTATTGTGTTACATACTTGTTAGGTTTTGTACTTTTCGTTTTGTGCTTCCGAACTTGATTCTGCCAAAAGAGAAGTCACAAAGAAATGATAGATCTGCAAAAATTGCTCTCAAGCAAGAAGCGCTAAAGTTGAATAAGTTCAAAAAAGTTTCTCTTCCAGAAGGTTATTTAATATTGTTGTATATTTTTATATTTTCCCTTATATTTTCTGCAAATACATTTTTTTGTTTCCTGATTTTACTTAGATTTTCGTTTTGAATGAGAACAGGACTTTCAGATCCTAAAAGTTTTTGTCAAATAATCAAATCATTTTTGTATATTTAATAATTGTATAGTCAAATAATCAAATCATTTTTGTATATTTTTAAAAATCTGCGATCACTTCTACAAAAATCTTAATCAGAAAATAAAAATAAATAAAAAAACAACAAAGAAAAAAAAACATGAATCCTCCTCAAACTTAATTTTAGTTCTTTGCACAAATTTTTAAACAAAATTTACACTATTTTTTTTAAACAAAAAACATAATGTATAATAACAGTACAATTTATTGTCTGTGTTAATCCTGTTCGTATTAATTATGTATGTATTAATTATCTATGTATTAATTATGTATGTAATAGTTATTTATGTATTAACTATTTATGTATTAACTGTGTATTACTGTATTATTAATTAGATCTGTGCTGAAGGCAAATTTTCCAATATTGATATCAATACCCTTATTATTTTCTTGATACAAACGTCAATACTACCGGTACCAAACTAAAGGTAGTTAAAAGCAAATTAGTTTTTCCTTTGTTTCAAAAACAAAACACACTACAAAAAAAAAATCAATGAAACAATTTTCATGTTGATAAACATAAAAATAGTTTACTATTTTTATGCTTATCAACATGAAAATAGTTATTTATTTTTATTTGAAGCATACAGATTTACTCCAATACTAAAGAGTCTTTTGTTTTCCAAAAAGGTGGAGAGCTAAGTGCTTATTTTTAGCTCTACTAAAAATAAAAATTGGATCTTATGTGATTGCCAGCATTCATAAGGATATCCATTTTTGTCTTTCAGTTCACTATTTAAAATTAAAGTCAGCTGTCAACCAACTGTTAAGATATAAGTTCTTCAAAACTTCATAATCAAGTTCAAAAATGTTTTTTTGTATTTTCACTCATTGCATTTATTTTCTTTATATAATATCTTATATAATAGCTTTTTTTTATCTTATTCTAAGTTTGTTTAAAAAAAAAAAAAAAGCTAAAGGGAAGATAAGTTTAAACGCGATATTTGAATGGTGTTTATTATATAGTGTTGTGGTTAATTTTGTATTGTTTAAATCTATTTTTCATCAAACCAATAGGGCAAAAAGCTTACTCTCTAGACCACCTATTATTTCATTACTTTAAGTTTAAAATTATATTTTCATTAAACCGTGAAAAATAATTATTTCTTGGTTCCTCAATTCTGAATCTAAAATTTATCAAAAAAATAAAAGCATATGCAAAACAAATTTAAACAAAATGCACAATAAAATCTTGCAATTACCATCACCATTTATATAGTAATAAACTAACAGTTCTGAAGCCTCTACTACATCCGTGAAATAGTGGCTATTTTAATAAAGGTACAGTTCTACAACTTAATTTAATGTTTATGTGGCCAGCGGATCATTAGGTTATCGAACTCTGTAGTAGCTCTCATCGTGGGTGGTTCCATTAATTGCTTTGGAAGGTTTCCGCGTGAAACCATCTGCGTATAAAAGGTGTCCATGTTCGAGTTTTTGGTTTTCATTGTAGAAGCTTTTTAATACAAGTTTGAGTTTGATTAGCAAGAAAGAAGCAACCGATTTTTTGATTAGGCTGTCGTACACTATTTATGATTGAGTCAAGTTCACTATCAAATTAAAAATATGAGAACAAAGTTTTATAAAAATTTCTGAAAACATTAAACAAAAAAAAAAAATACTAAATTGTTTTATAATTGTCCTTACTAATTAAATATCCTTTACTAATACTTTTAGTTGGAAAATTATAGCTCTCCTTGGATTTATGGTTCTGCTCAAGTTGAGTCAATTGTTATCTCTCAGCCATTATTATGTTGTTAGTGACTTTTATGCTCATCACACTAAAAAATTTAATTTAAGGCTTAAAATTCTAGTTCTTTTCTGGCTCTAAAACTAAATTTATTTTGTTTTATCAATCTCTTACTCAGATAAGTAATTTTATGTTTTCTTGACAACCCTAATCATTTCTCTTGACAGCTTTACTTGCTTCAAACCCTTCGATAATTCTTCTCCCAAGGCTATAAGACTATCCGAAGATTTTTTTCTTTAATAACATTTAATTACTAAAAATCTGGTTTAAACTAAAAATTATATAACTTTTTAATGGAATGATCAATTTAATTAATTTCAAAAGCATAATAACAAAAAAAGTTTGAATAATAAAATAAAATAATGAAGTTATAAGTTTTTCATGACGACATTATTTATGCCATGACGACAAACAGTGTAAACTCTTGTAAATGTTGCGGCCGCTAGCCGATGAACGCGTTTCGTGTCAATTTTCTTGACTGAAAACTCGATTCGTTTTTTAAGTTTATCTGGATTTTTAACTTGCCAATTTTATTATACACAAATCTATTAAGTTTAGACTAAAAATCTTCAATCGGTCGTAATTCTGGCACATTAGCAGGGTTATGCACTTTTAGTACAGATTCAATATTTTTTGATTTTAGATCAAAAAATAGTCTTGTACTTTAGGTAAATAATGCGACAAAGCAAGATTAGGCCAGAAAATGATACTGCCATTTTAATGATATTTTCTAATAAATGTTTCTAATTAGAAAAAATATTTTGAAATAAACTCATTTTCATTGACTGCTTGGTCCAATGGAGCTATGTAACATTGAGAAATTCTTTTCGTCGAGAATGCATTTCAAACGAGTTATTTTGGTTTAAACGAGTTATTTTGTCCTTTCTTTTCAACCTTACATCATTTGATGCTCCATCTATGTCCAAAGAGTAGAGTCTAGCGTTTCCATAAATATTGGTGTTGTTTAAATAAAAGCATGATTCTTTGTCAATAATTTTTTTTTCCCGAAAAATTAAAGCTAATCGGCATTTCGAACAAACAGCTATTTTTTGCGCTGGTGTTCTTTTAGGTGTTTTAGATTTTTTATGATAACAAATATTAGTGTTTTTATTGATAATTTTGTATATGTACGGTTGTGATACATTGAATCGTTTTGCATGACCACGCTATAAAATACCATCTTTTTGATCAATCAATTTTTTAAAATGCTTTATCTGATTTTTAGACATTTTGCTTTGCGACCACTTTCAACTTTTCGTTTTGGTCCTATAATGTTCTCTATTCTTTAGAGTTTATTATACATAGTAGATTTTGGTATGTTTTCTATTCGAAAGTCATTTACAATAAAGCTTTTATTCTCATCTGGATGCAAATCCAAAACTGCGTACACTCGTTTTCTGAACAAATTTTCTTCATTTTCTTCTATTTTTAAATATAACAAAATCAAAAAGTTATTATTAATACATATAAAGTGTTAAATTTGTAACTAAATAGGTAAACAAGTTTATTAAATTGTTCCTTTATATTTTTGTTGTTAATAAAACTTTAGATTTTTAGCTTTCACATATTATAATGAATAATTTTTAAAAAGGATAATCAATTGTTAGACACTTCTGTTTCTATTTCTAAAATTATTTTTCACTTTGAATCATCATAGTTTGTGGTTCGTACAATATTTCTCTCATCGTCTTACAAAGCTGTTCTTCTGAACTTTTTTCATGAATTTCTAATTTAATTAAATAATGCCTACCTGAATCTTGTTTGCCTGCCTGCTGGAAAATGACATCTATGGTTCCATGTTTCACCGCCCTACAGTTGAGTATTTGACCAAAAAAGTCGATCAAAAATATTTCATCGAGGTTACCGCAACAACAACAAAAAAAATTTTATATAAGTGAAATATTTTAAAAATATATATTTAACAAGTTTATCTGTAGATAAAAAAAGTATATTTATAAAATAAATAATATATATAGTTATATTTCAAATATAAATATATATATGGAAAATTAGAGTGATGGTTATTGTAAAACAAAGTATGTCAAATCATTATATGTTATTATTATCTTCTCTTTCAAAATACTTTTTTTAAATTTCACCGAGCTGATTTTTTCAACATTCGATGACTTGATCTATATTCTTGTTACTCTTAGAAAAACAGCTGCCTTAAAGTGCCATAAATATACTTTTATGGAGTTTATCGAAGCGGTGTATTTATGGAGTTTATCGAAGCGGTGTATTTATAAAACAATTATTTTTTGCAGTGTATTTATAAAACAATTATTTTTTGCGGTGTATTTATAAAACAATTATTTTTTTGCGGTGTATATATAAAACAATTATTTTTTTGCGGTGTATTTATAAAACAATTATTTTTTTGCGGTGTGTTTATAAAACAATTATTTTTTTGCGGTGTATTTATAAAACAATTATTTTTTTGCGGTGTATTTATAAAACAATTATTTTTTTTTGCGGTGTATTTATAAAACAATTATTTTTTTTGCGGTGTATTTATAAAACAATTATTTTTTTGCGGTGTATTTATAAAACAATTATTTTTTCGCGGTGTATTTATAAAACAATTAATTTTAATACAACTAATTTTAAAGATTTAATTTTACTTAAATTTTTTTTTTTTCATATTTTACTTTAATGAACTATATATACTTTTATATTTATAAATATCCTTTTTTTGTTTACAAATATACTTGTTAAATATATATATTTAAAATATTTCAAAAAAATATATTTTGCGGAAACTTTAAAGGTTTTTTTTGTTTTTGCGGTAACTTCAATGAAATCTTTTTGATCGACTTTTTCGGTCAAATACTCCACTGTGCGCCCCCTCTAGTTATCGCCTAATTAGTCTTTTTACTTTTGATACCTTTAAATCTTTGAAGTCTTTGAATCTTTATTTAAAAAACATCTTAAGTTTAACTAATTACTCTTTGACAATTTATACAGGTATTCTCGGTCTAATGCTGACTTAATAACTGTTATAAAAGTTCTATTGTGCATGAGATGAGTAGAGCATTAGGAAGCAATTTAGCCAGGGCTTTTCTTTTGATATTTTGAAGGCTTTCAATAAAATTTGGTATGCTGGTCTTCTCCATTAGCTTGCTTCATATGGCGTACGTTGGTAAGTTTTTTAAATTTTAGAATTTTTCCTTTTAACTACCGCTATTGCTTTCTTTTAAGATCCATAAATACAACCCATTGCAAAGTTAGTATCTGTAAGTCTTCTTGTTGTTCTTGCTCTCTTCTTTATTTTTCTTATTCCTAATTTCTACCTATCTACTTTGCTTTCTACGCTACTTCTACTTTGCTTTCTACGCTAC